AAGCTTATGGTTTTTCATCTTTGGGCTGCCTGTGGCACCAACTCTTCAAGAAAGACTCGGCATTAACACAGGTAGCCCAAAAAAGGAATACCAAGCGAGGAAAAAGAATATGGAATCCTGTTTGAAATGGATTTTTTCTCTCAGACTTACTCCTATTGATATATTATTTTATCTTTCAGTTCCATCGAGTTATAGTCCCTGAAAGTATCAAGAAAGAAAGAGACCGTCGCTCAGCAGTCTTCTTCTTTAATCCAGACCGTGATGCAACCATAACTTGTCTTGATGGTCAAAACAAATACCTGCCAATCAAATCTAGTGATTACATCACGTCAAGGCTTGCTTCTGGCTACAGTATTCCAGTACCAGTTCAGCAGTGATGATTAGCATAATGTCAATGATAAGAAAAATTTGAATCACAATGTTCAGTCATCCAACATAGCTGCCAGTACATGAACGGGAAAGACTTTTATAACTTTTTCGTCAAGTTATTTATTACAGAACAATATCATCTATTTTCTCCTAATAATTCCAGTATTCTATAAATTGTGCATTCTGATTGGCTGTCAGAGTGAGAGCTATTTTTTATCTCTGACTGCAGTCAAGTATCCTGGGATAATGGATTATAAAAACAAGTTGAAAAATAAATGGAAAAAAAGGTTATTAGATTCTAAAGTCGGTCCAGATAGAGAAAGACTGTGCCCTCTGCCTTGAACACATACTTCAGCTTTGGTTGGTATACACCTATTTTAAAAAACGTTGTCAGTTAGATATCTGAAATCAGAAATCTGAGACCGATTGGAATTGTGGGGGACTGAGTGTTTTCTTGTTCAAAATTCAATGTACACTTACCCAGATAGTTTGCCAGCACAGGTGTTTGCTCAAAGTTAGTAAATCAAGATATTAACTTTACAAACAATTTACAGCTTACAATCCACAATTCCTTTTGGTCTCACATTTCAGATCTCTGACCGACCTTTTTTGAAATAGGTGTATATTTCATTGCCTAGACCACAGTATATCTGGACCTCCTCACCAGTAAATAATCCCTATAGCTGAACATGTCTTAGCTGCCAATGTTATTTATTTATGCAACACACCACATTAAATGTTAAAATTCACAGTTTGGGTTTCATGTCTCTTAAGCACAGGAAGAACAAGGAAGCTTTCTATTTCTGCATGAAAAATGCATGAACATTAGGGGCAGAAATGTTAGAAATAATATATGCTTTGCTTTGTACGTAATTTGAAAAATCAGAATAATATCAGATTGATTGTCCACAACTTATCTAGAGTCTAACTAAAAAACAAATGTATTTTAAAAGCTGGTGTTAGCTGGCATAGAGGCTTTGCACCATCATGTGCCGGCACCCATAATACAGCTTGGACTGCCTGTGGTTAGATAGCAGAACAATAAAATGCTGTTGCTCTTGGGAATTAAATTCTTTCTCATGTAAAACGATTGTATTGCTCCTGCCATCTAACATGGCTGCCATCACGTGATGGTGCAAACCCTTATTATGGGTTCCTTGGTACCTACCTCCTCTGAACAACCACAGGCCACCACGCAACATGGATTAAAGTCAATATTCAATCACTACGCTGGCTTATTCCAGCTTTCCCTTTTTTATCAGTTACTTCAGTGCAATAGACCTTTACGGAATTTGCAAGACGGGTTAATCGTCTATGGTCTAGGCACCAACTAACCTCTCAGGCTTCGGCCAAGCTTCTTGATCAGTCTGTAATTCCTTGGATTGCAGTGTCGGTGCGAAATCTCTAATTCTATCCATTAGTCTTTTGGTATTTTAAAAGTTATGCATTTTTATTGAAAACGAGTAATATAAGGGTGAGTAAAAACTCTTTATTTATTTTATTTATTTACTTATTTGTCACTCTATTTACAATTCATATGGGAGCTAATTATTGCTAGGTAATCATATCAAATACCATTATAAAGTACGATAAAGAATGTATGAAGATCATGAGACAGTAAGAAGCAAGACTATGAGGATTATAGACGATAAAAGTTTGACAGGTAGAGGAAACAGGACTTGTGTCCCAACTGACATCCTTCCTCTATTGTAACAGTAAAAAAATAATACCAAGAATTTTTTTTCGAGTAATGATGCATTACGAAAAATACTGAATTTGAATTAAACTGGATATTGAAATAACCACTAGATACTTTAGTGATTGATGAGAAAATTAAATTGATTTATAGTACATCACTAACAAAATAGTGAGCACTTTGGGGGCATAGCCATGATTTTTCGAGTTGAATAAAAACCATTCGGGCTGGAGGTGTCATTGTTTTAGTCAAATATACAGATACAAACTAGTTTTTAATTGAAGTAAAATTTGATGTATTGGTTTTCAAAGCCGGCACTTTTCGCTACTAGTAGGCTATGACATTTAGCCTAGTCGTAGCTCGTCCAATCAGAATGCAGCATTGATGATAGAGCACTAGTTGGATTCAGTGGCAGATCCAGGATTTTTCAAAGGGTGGTTCCGTTTCTTAAACTGTGTATAATTCTCTTTTGTTTAGTTGATGTTTGACAAAAAAATTGGCTCTAATCACCTAATTTACTATCTAGTAACGGAACTTAAAGGTAAATTAAACATTATAACAGCAAATATCTATCATTTCGTGTTCAACATTATCTTTGTGGATACTTTTAAGGAAAATTTATATAAGACATATTTCTATTACCTAAAAGATCAAACCTTCAAGGGGGGTTCCGTGGACCCCTTTGACCCCCCCCCCCCTGGATCCGCCACTGGGATTTCGCTAATTGATAAATATACCCCGCGTTTGATTGTTTTAACTTGTTTTGTTCAATCTTGGGTAAGAAGACTGCAGTCTTAAATCATTTGTTCAGACTTTTCTATAACTTGTCTAGTGGGTTTTACACCAAAGATTTTTTTTTGCATGGTATGGCATACCCAAGTTCGATCACATCTAATCCCATTCCAAGATTTTTCCAGTCCCACAAACTTTGAATTTGCTACCTGAGTTCCAGTGCTTTCCTGTTATGTTTGGCCAGGAGTCTCTGGAATCCAGGGTGAAGGAGGCGCCCTTTTGTTCAGAATCAATTTTCTAGATTTTCGCATTTTGTCTTAACTTCCGAAGACCAGGCTGTGGAAGAGTGAATTCCTTTTTTCGAGTAGTTTATCTGGACGGTCGAACTCTACCACCAGACCCCTGTCCATCACCAGCACACGATCACTGTCCAGAACAGTCTCAACCCTATATGTGATAAGAGGTTTTGAGACTTAACTTGAAGAACTTCAAAGCAAAACTAGTAGCCATCTCTTGGTGCATAGTTTAAAAACAATCTTCACGTTTTTATTGGAAGCCTGGAACAACCTCTGGGCTGATCTAAGTCAGGACATGGCTAACTCACAGATTGAACACTGAAACAACCTCTGGGCTGATCTAGGTCAGGGCATGGCTGACTCAGATTGAACCCTAAAACAACCTCTGGGCTGATCTAGATCAGGGCATGGCTAACTCACAGATTGAACACTGGAACAACCTCTGGGCTGATCTAAGTCAGG